GATCGATTACGGCGGGTAGGGCGGCCCGGCCCTGCACACCTACTTGTTGAGAGAGGGGGCTTTCAAGCTTTTCCCACAAAGAAGCTGCTGCTGCACAAGAAACCCGTCAAACCAGCGGCGTACGGCGCCGTCCCCTGCGGCCGGCCCTTGCGCCCAAGGCCTCCTGGAGGTGGCGGGTGCCGCAGCACAGCGTCGGCCACCACGTCAACCCCCTCACCGGCCAGCGGGTAGGGCCGCTCCACGCCACCCTCGGCCCCCTCCTCCACCTCCTCGTCGTCATCGTCACTCCCAGCCCTGCGGCCCCAGCCCTCGTCCTCCGCCACCTCCATCCGCCACTTGACGAGCCCCGGCGTGTCCAGCGGCAGGCTCTGCAGCAGGTGCAGGTGGCTGGCGAACACCCCGCTGCAGCCGCGGGCCACGAGCTCCTCCAGCATGGCGGCCGCCAGGGCGCTGCCCCCCAGCACCTCCGTGCCCTTGCCCAGCTCGTCCACCAGCACCAGGGGGCGCGCACCAGGGGACGACGCCTCCGACAGCACGCTCCTGGGAAGTGGGGGGAGAGTGCCAGCGGGGGATGGGGGCCCAGGGGATAGTAGGTGGCGGGTGGCCTGTTGAGGGGTGCGCGGCTCAGAGGCAGCGAGCAACGGGTTTGAACGGATGCGGGCGTGGGATGGTGCTGTACCCAGCAATCGCCTCCCTGGCCCAGCGACGCTGAGCCCCGCGCTGTCGCGCCCTGACCCCGTTCCGTGCGCTGATCCACACTTCACGCTCCAACCCTCCACCGCCAACCACCAAGCCTATGCGAGTTGCTTGCTCACACCCCCCGACTGCTGTCAACACACCCAGCCACCCCGCAGCCACGCCGACGCCACCCCCAGAGCTCCCCCAACTCACGCCATGTCCCGCATCTCAACCCCGAACGCGCTCATGCCCTCTGTAGGGGCGTCGCCGCTGAAGTTGCGCAGCGCATAGTGCGTGAAGTGGGGCACCACACAGCCGGGGTCCGCGGGCACCAGCAGGCCGCAGTTGGCGAGCAGCGACGTGGCGCACACGGTGCGCAGAGCCGTGGACTTGCCTTCGGGTGCGTGCGGCCCAAGGGGGGGAGGGAAGGTCGAGTGTGCAGCCGAGTTCAGCTCTGGTTGGGGGTGGGGCCTGGGATCTCCCGTTGGCCCCAGGGCGCCATCACAGCGGCCGCTCGAGCCCGCGCGACCGCTCTCAGCACTGTGGGGCGCCAAGCTGTCGCGCCCTGCCCACCCCCGCCACGGCCGCCCACTCACCTGCCATGTTTGGTCCCGTCAGCAGCGCCATGCCCGCCAGCTCAACATCATTGGCCACCACCTCCTGCCCGCTGACACCCTCAGCACTCCCGCCATGCCGGTCCATCCAGTACGGCCACGCCCCCCGCAGCACCAGGGCACAAGGCGCCGCAGCGCCATCCGACGCAGCGGCCCCGCTGACGCTGCTGCTGGCGCTGTTGTTCACGCTGCCAAGATCGCTGCTGCCACCGTTGCCGCCGATGCTGCTGCTGCTACTGCTGCTGCTGGCGGGGCCGCCGCTGAGGCCTGGCCCCACCAGCTGTGGCAGCGACCAGCCCAGCCCCAGTGCATAGTCGACGTGCAGCATCAGGGCCTGGGCAATCGCGGGAGAAGTGTGGTGGAGGCAGGGGCGGCGGTTGAGTGGATCACAGCGCAGTGGGGTGGGGTGGTGGCCCATGGGCATGGGTCTGGCCCGTTCATCAGAACATGTACGACGTGCTGTGGGGCTGAAACTTTCGCAAGAGCCCCTACCGCACTTATACGCAAGCGTCCAAAGTCTCGCGCGGTTGCTACAGCCCACGCCCAGTGTGCACTGTGCCCTCACACCACCTGGGACTCAACACCTCCCTCCACGCCGCCCAAACACCCACAACCCCCTGCCGCCCCCACCTGCAGCAGAATGCTGGCCCCGGCCGCCACCCCCACCGCAGGCAGCAGCGGCGCCACCTCGTCAGCCAGCCCCTGCAGCCGCGCCCGCGCCACTACGCCGGCCTCTTGCACGGCGACGTACCACTCAACGCTGGCAGAGTCCAGCGCGTCATTGGTGAAGCAGGGGCCGCCGCCGCGGGGGCAGCCTGTCTTGGCGGGCTCTGCCCTGCGCAGGCCCAGCTCCCTGAGGACGGGGTCCAGCTGCGCCTGCAGGGGGATGGGTGTGTCACCAAGACAGTTGATGGCGGGTCAGCGGAGTGGCAGGCGAATGAAGGGAGGTAAGAGAATTGCATGGAGTGGAGCGGTGTTTGGTGGGGGCTGTGGGCGTTGATGGGGCGAAACACAGTGGAGGGAGTTGCTGGCTCGAGCACGTAAGGCTGCGTGCCGGGCTCCGCCCCGCCGAGCGCGGAACCGCGCCACCATTGCGCCCCCGTCAATCGCCTCATCGCGCTGCCCAGACGCTCATACACACTGGGAAACCCCCAATGCCACACCCAAGCGGGGCCCGCCCCTGCCGCCGCCCCCGCACCTTGAACTTTTCGTACTGAGGCACCCTCACCCACACCCGCCCCGAGGGGCCATCCGCCACCAGGTGCGGCTC